TTTGTTCAAATCGGTTCATAATTGGCGGAGTTATCGCGTAACAAACATAGAAAAAAAAAAAAAACATACGGGTCGAATTGAGAACCTCCTCCTTTTTTGAAGTCGGTTGAAAATGTATATGAATGTGTGCATAAAGACACCCGCCATCATAAATAATACATCAAGATATACTCATACTCATAAAATTGATTGTCTCGATAAATTAATATGGCACATGAAAGAGAAAAATCTAATCCAATCACAATTTTATGAGAAGATCGCGGATGCGAAGTGACTTTATATGTCAAATCCTCCTACAAAATATACTACCATGTTGTGAAATTATGTAGCACTTACAATCAATTAAACTTTATAACTAATCACCGTAACATGTATCTATTCTCTGCCGGAACTTTAAGTGTTTAATTGGTAGGCTTTACACGACTTTACGCAGTTATTAACAGGAGTTAAATGATAATGGTTTACTTAGTTTATTTTCAACTGCACGCACGCGGTTAAGTGAAGTTTACCTCAATTAGCTATCGCTAACAGTGCTCTTTCAATATTATACAGTTGTGTTTGAGTACCGCCGACGAACTGTCTGAAACCCTGTCGAAACGCAATGTAACTGAGATGAAGCTGTAGCGAAATGTCATCGTGTGGTTGGCAACACTGCTTTCGCTTACCAACATAAAAACGGGCTTGTCAGGCTGCCGCTAGATGACACTTCGTACTATATAACTCGCCCGCCAATTATAAATAATTGTGGAAGTAAAAATGTATTTGCGTCTAAGCTTATAAATAAACTACGTTATCAAACTTAGTGCGAGTTATATTTTCATAGAATCTCTACAGAAGTCTGACACAAGATGTTTTATGGTGCCCACCAACCGGCACCAAATTGGTGACCCCGACGCGTCTGACCATGAAACGAGGATACAAGTGCTTCGAATTACTATTGCAATTAGCACTGTAAATACTACGAACTACATCATGCTACGAAGTTAAAACACAGTCAAGTTTGCCTTGGATTTCATCTTCAACATCGGCTGTATGAAATGGACGGGTTTCGGCCGTGCAAGTAATACAAGTAACCAAACCCACATCCAGTGTTTCAAGAGTTAAAATCAATCAGACTAGCAAGATTCAGGACTTCTGTTCATGAAACAGTGAAAAGGACATGCAAGTAGTAGCATACGTAATAAATAGTTTTTGTAGTTCATAATTATGTGTACGGCATAGTTGGTGTCTTTTGTTTTGCCGCCATTGTCCCTACAACTGAACAGCTGTGTGTGTGTTTACATTGTCTATTGTTTGTAATTTTTTAAAGTTTTTATTTTTTTCAAAGAGTTTTGTTCTTGCTATTCAAAATTCTGCGTTTTGTTATTGCACAAAAAAAGTTTTTTTTTTTTTCTTCGCTTTAATTGTTTTCTCATAAATTACCTATATAATTTTATTTTTAAGAGTAATCTAACTACGTTTGAAATATGACAGAATTTAAAGTATTACAAGATCGTTTGGAAGAACTTTTAGTTCAGAATAACGCACTGCTGCAACAAAATGCGGATTTACAAAATAGGCTTTCCGCGCAACCATCTGCAGATTCACCGCAAGTAAGCGATGTCCCCAAATCATTAGCAATCAGCCCAAAATTGGCCCCATTTTGGATAGACCGTCCCGCAGCTTGGTTTGCTCATATAGAGGCGCAATTTGCTTTATCTCAGATTTCTGCCGATGAGACTAAATATAATTATGTTGTAGCCCAGATTGACTCCAGACTAGCGAATGAGGTTGAAGACCTCGTCACAAACCCTCCACCTAAAGGCCAGCGTTATGATTGGATCAAGAGAGAAATGATAAGNAAAAATCGAAATGATCCTCATTGAATACAAAGCTGTATTTGAATACTTCATATTCTGTGGGGAACAATTAAAATGATGAGGACGTGTATTACCTACCGACCTACCCCAATTAGGTCATACTCGTTATTTATTTATGTGTAGGTCCTTATTTAAGCTAAAGACGCATTTTTAAGAATTTCTTATTTCATTTATTTTCGTGAGGACTTTCACTATTAATAACTATTCTGCTTCCTTTTGTTGAACTTACAAATACATTAACTAGTAGAGATACTAATTAAAGTAAATGTTCGTGTGGGGTCCCATTCAAACTAACACTGCAAGGTGGTAATAACTCGTAATTAATACGATAGTTAAGTAGATACTTGCAGTTTCTAAGTAAATATAATTTAGTGGTGGTGTATGTTACAAGATTTCCTTACATGTAGTTGTCTTTGTATTTTATCTATGAGAATATACATAGATTGTATTTTTAACCGACTTCAAAAAAGGAGGAGGTTATGTGTTCGGCTGTATGTAAGTATGTTTTTTTTTACTCTAATATCTAAAAAGTCCTTTGAATACCAAAGTAAAAAATTAGATGATACCGATAACATCATCATCTACGTTTTTCCCAATTGTCTCAAATATATCTCGCACAAGATTAAATTAATGAGTGTTTATCTCGTAAGCAAGAATTTTATTATCAATACACATATCAGTTTATTAAATCTCTCAGCAAAATAAGCCATCTATCTATGCAATTCCAACCATGTGGTCTAACGGCATGACGACAGGTGAATGTTCTCATCTACATACGGGTAGTACGTGGGCCGGGGGTCACCGATGTGCCCTGTCGCCCATAGCCTAACAGGCCGTGGGATATGTCTGGGGTAGGGCTACCAGTGCTCTGTTAGAGAGTAAGCACTTCATAAAGGTTTATTATCTTTTAGAATTTCAAAAAACAGACGTTTTAAACAAGGAAGACTATATTGATTTTTCGGTATTTTAATCATTCGATATTTTGATCGTTCGATCATTTGTAAATTCGATATTCTGAACGTTCGATATTTTGGGGCCTAAGAATTTTAAAAATACGTACGTTTTAAAGAGGCCATAAAGGGCTGTATAAAAAGTTTCCATCGTTCATCATCATCATTTCAGTCACAGGACGTACACTGCTGAATATAGGCCTACCCAATGATTTCCATAATAATATTATCACGTCACGAACGTGCAAATACTATAGCTTACCTAACCATACATAGACTAAATAGTTAGTGACAAGTAGAAAAAATTCGGCCTACTTACCACCAATCTGACCGAGTTTTTAAGTGGATTTGATGCATTAGAAAATAATTGCACGCTATCTCTGTACATTTAAATTAATTATTTCATTTTGTGTCTGGAATATCTAATCGATTAATAAAAAATAATTGCCTACAAACGTTCTGCTTTTCGGCCGAGCTCTCGCAGTTTTTTTGACGATTTATTTACATGTCTGTCACTTTCTAGCACGCGTGTAACCAATGCCAACTCAAGTAATAAACATGATAGAATATCCCTTTTAATCTGAGACATGTCACGAATTAGAGCCAAAACAGACGATACCATAATAGGGTACTTCATTGAGCTGCAAGTTACAAGAAAAGGCATGCACAATTTAGTCAGGCGGTCTCATCATTAGGGGGTGATCTTGTCCAGACAACCCGGCCTTATTCAGGCATTACTTCTAAATCTGGGAAATTCTAGATGGTGACTCTACGTCTGCGATTTAATCCATATTTGTGTGCTCCATCGACCGATAAATCTGTACCCCCAGTGAAAAGGGAGTTAAGTCGAAAATGGTGATTTTTGGGAAATCGCATTTGAAGTTAAAAAAAATCCTGCTTCATCGCTATTAGAGATAACTTGGTGAAATATTTTTTAGGTGAAAGGTAATGTTAGATATAATTAGGCAGTGTGCCAGTTTGGGAAATATAGCATGTGGTTTTTTCGTAATTAAATAAAAACACAGTTATATCACCATGCACGACAACTTTACATTCGTGTAAAGTGATGTAATGGGACATAAATCATTTTACACCACACTGAATTGACCACACGCTATCAAGTGTAAAGTGATACGTTTTCCGCCATTTTCGTTGATAATTTTTTGTTTCTTCAATTTTAGAAAAAGTTGTAAAACAAACATAAGTAATTACACTATGAGGAATCATTATTTCAGGTTATTTAGGGTAAATCGTCCAAAAATTGTTACTTATATCAAAATACACCAATTTTTTGGTGAGAAAAAAAATGTGTAAACTGATCTAACTAACATAACAGCGATCTAAGTATCAAAATAATTATGTGTAAAGTGATATAAGTGGCGATTGTATAGGAATAAGGCTAGAATTTGAGACTGAATTCTAATTATTTACTCCTTAAATGTTTATTCTGATCTGAAACTACTATTTTATTAATTATTACACCATATACCATGAATGATATCGGCCTAAATCACATACATTATCTCCTATTTTAAATAAAGTATAGCTGAAGCAATTGTGTAGTAAAGATCAGAAAAAACAATGGTTTCACATCAACTAATTAGACAGGAGACAGAGAAAGGTTTGTTTTATACAATTAACCTATTAGGAATCAAACCCTGGACCGGAGATGGTGATGTCAAGCTATATTGATTGCCTTTTGGCTACAGAAGGATAATATAAAAGTAAAGTCATAAAATGCATTTGTTTTCAACAAAGAGGCTTTTAAAAAGCCCTTTAACACGTCCTAGTATTACTTGAACCCTACTTTTATTTTGGGACATAAATGGGCCAGTGCTGAGAAGAAGCAGCGCAAGAAATTTAGCCACCCTTGTCAGCTTCTTCTTAAATTATAAATAACTTGAAAAAGTCGAACTGCCTAAGGCGGGAATCTTCTTAAATCAATAATGACATGAATAACAAGACATGTTATACTTGCGAGCTAAGCAGATAAAGTCCAGCCACACATGCCATTTACATAATTATTTACTTTATACATAGTATCCATTCAAAAGGCCTTTCGTAGTTAGTTTTGCAGGACAATCGAATATTGCACTTAGCCTTTTGATTAGACCATTGTGCGCTATTTGTAGTTTATCTTCCTATTCCAACCACTCCAGATCCCCCAGGTAGCAGCAGCCTATCTAAGTCGCTACAGGCCTTCTGCAGCGACCCTGGTGATTGGAGAATTTGAGCCTGTTGATCTGCTACGCTTGTGTACTCCTTGTGCACGTGCTGCGGTTTTTCTTCTGCCTCCATGCATCTTCTGCACAGTAGGCTTGCTCTTTATCATGATGTGACCCGTAAAGTCCACGCCGGTGTGATAAAATGGGCGGGATGGGTTGCTTCTAGCGTGTGGTAAGTCACCCATGATCTGATGTTTCTTGTTTGTGTCGTATCGCCTGCACTTGACGCACCCACGTAGGCGCTTCTTGATGGCCCTGATGCCACCCACAATCCAGTATCGTTGACGAAGGAATGAGGTCGTTAAACGTGCCCCACCGTGGTAAGTGAGAGCGTGAGCTTCATCGATTAAGAGGTCGGTAAGATGACTTGCATGTGGAATGATGATAGGATGCTTCATTTCCGAGCTTATCTGTGCATGTCTTAGTCTTCCGCCAACACGGAGGATGCCTTGTTCGTCAAGATGAGGGTTGAGGTTAAGTATGCTGCTTTTTGAGTTGATGATCCCGTTAGTTTTCAGGTCATTTATCTCTTGAGAGAAGTATTCTTGCTGTACGTGTTGAATTATTTTCAACTTGGAGAAACGGATTTCCTCTAAGGTAAGGTATGATGGTAAGTTTTTCTTGTTTAGTGTAGTCAATTTAAATCTGTATAGCCACGCTAAGATGTGAATCAGTTTCTTGAACGTGCTATATTTTTGCATTAATTCCTTGATGGTGCTCATTTCTTGGTATGTAGATGTATTAACTTGTTTTTTCTGTTTCAGATCTTCACTTGTTTCGAACGACGCTTGTTCGGGTTGATCTTCGTATGAATGTAGCCAGCTTGGACCTTGCCACCAAAGAGAATGCTTTTCTAATTGAGTGACTGTCAGACCCCTGCTAGCACAATCAGCGGGATTATCTTGAGATTTGACGTATCGCCAGTCGCTTCCAGGCAATATTTCAGTCACTTGCTTGACTCTGTTCGCTACGAAGGTCTTCCACTTGTCTGGATCACCTTGCAGCCACCCCAAAACTGCTGTTGAATCAGTCCAGCCCAGGGTCTTGATTTGATAATTGGGTAAACTTTTTCTAACTTTGTCAATTAATTGCGATAATAAAACTGCGCCACATAACTCCAGCCGAGGTAATGTGACCGTTTTGCTGACCGGAACTAGTCGCGTTTTCGCGGCGACCAGAACCACTGTACTTTGGCCTCTTCGTGTTATTTTGCAGTAAATGACGCAAGCGTATGCTTTTATTGATGCGTCGCAAAATCCATGCAGTTCAATGACATCGTTTTCTTGCGTTTCGAGCCATCTTTGAACCTTGATTTGATTAATATTTTGTATCTCGTCTCTGATTTTTAACCATTCCAAATTAATGTCATCCGGAAGGTTATCATTCCAGTCGATGTTTGACAGCCATGTAGATTGAAATAGGAGTTTTAGCTTGACAGTGAGAGGTGAGAGCCAACCGAGAGGATCGAAGATGGTTGATATAGCAGATAATAATGTTCTTTTCGTGGTTTTTGTTTGACTTGTTGGTATTTTTGATTCAAAGGTAAAACTGTCTTCTTGTGGGTTCCACCGAAGTCCCAATGCTTTCGTTGATTCAAGTCCACGAAAATCAAAATTGTCTCTCTTGTTGCTGTCCTCGACTAGCTCTGGTGTATTAGATGACCACTTCCTTAGATTGAAGCCTCCTGACTTCAATAGGTTTATGAGGTCATGTTTTAACTGTTTGGCTGATGATAATGAATGACTTCCATGAATGAGGTCATCCATATAGAAACAATCTCGTAAGACAGTAGCTGCTTGATTTTCTTGATAATTATGCTCTTCATCGTCTGCGAGTTGCTTAAGCGTCATCATCGCCAAAAATGGCGCGGCCTTGGTGCCGTAGGTGACGGTGGTTAACTCGTATTCTTGTATTGGTTTCGTTTGATTGTCTCGCCATACAATCTTGTGATATTGTTGATGTTCTTCATTTAACCATATCTGTCGAAACATTTTTTCGATATCAGCTGTGTATGCATACTTGTATTGTCGCCATTTTAAGATTAAAAACTGTAGATCTTGTTGTAGATTAGGGCCTCTGTACATGAGGTCATTGAGGCTCATCCCAGTAGAAGTTTTTGCAGATGCGTTAAACACAACTCTAAGTGCAGTTGTTGTCGACTCGTTGCGTAAGACACAGTGGTGAGGTAAAAAGTATTCCGGTGTCGTGTTTCCACGTGCAAGTTGCATGTGACCTGATGTTAGGTATTCGTCGATAAACGTTTTGTAATTAATTGCGGTGTCATTTTGCTTCGTAAATTTTTGTTCCAGTTGATTGAATTGCGCAATGGCCTTGTGTTTTGACGTTCCCAATTCTTGTATGAAGTTGGGTTTTAGAGGAAGTTTTACTTGATATCTCCCATCCTCTCGTCGAACGGTTGTTGCTTTGTAAAATTCTATGCATGCTTGATCTTCAGATGATAATGATGACTCTTGTTGTGTAATGTCTTCAATTTGCCAAAATCGTTGTATATCTTCAATGTTGTTTAATAAGACGTTGCATTGTAATGTAGTTGTATTGGCGCTTCCGCTTAATATCCAACCAAATCGCGTTTGTTGCGCTATTGGTGTTTGATTGTTTTCTCGACAGATGCCATCCAAAATGATGTTAGAGTACACCTCCGCCCCCAAAAGTAGGTCGACGGGGCGACTTTTGTAGAACTCAGGGTCTGCTAGTTGTATGTTTTCCAGGAACTCCCATGATGGTTTCGATAATGTGTTACTTGGCAGGTTGTTAATTAGCGTTTTCATAATAAGCACGTCGGTTTGTAATGTATATTCGCAGTTATTTGACTTGATAGTTATGTTTATTATTCCCTTGCAGTTATTTTCCTTGGCTCCGATTCCAGTTATGACTCCAGTACATTGACGTCGTGGTAATGATAAAATTTGAGCTGCTTTCTCGGTGATAATTGAGGTTTGCGATCCTTGGTCGAGTAGTGCTCGTAGTTTGTAGTAGTTGCCATNAATCATTTGTCTTTTACTTTTTGTGCTATAAATTAAGTTACATTCTTTTTCACTAACCAACAATACATAGTTTTTTTTGTGTATATTAATATGAGTCATCTTATATTGTTAATCACAAACTCAATCTGAAAAACTTCCATCGTGTAAAAAGTAGTAACACGAGTCATACCTCTTGACACAATAAAAAAGTGAAAGAAGCCTCCGGTACACTTTGTTAAAAGTAAACATGTATCAATATACACGAAAGAAAACTCAAAATTGGTTCACAAAGCCTTACTTGTATCATTTGGCACAAAGTTATTTTCTTTTCTATACGTCGTAGAAACATACCGATTAGATACAAAAATAGCTAATTTTTCAGAGATTCACATTATGTTATAAAGTCAATTTTGATCTAAGTCGAGTTAGATCCCTTTTCACTGGGGGTACAGAAATAAGAACCGACCCACTCTGCGACGCCCGACAGTTTAACGGTCGGCTGTGGGAAAAATGACGCATCTTTAACTGTTTTGGGAGAGACCTACTTGGGTAGGCACTTTCCTTATAAGTGTAAACACGAAACACCTTGTTTGACCGATATTATTTGTTATATCTGTATTAGGTAGGTACAGACGACGGTACATCAAAGTAAACAGTGTGGGTTCTTGTGCAGTTGTAATAGGGGCGAGTTTGCAACAAAAATGGGTAGCCTGATGTGCTGTCGTGTGTACTTAAAAGGAGGTAGAGTTGTTTGTAAGTAATCTTCTTCTATCGTGTGAGTTGTTGCTGAGGGACAGAGTTAATGAGCAAGTATCTGACATAGCACTAAATCAATACATCGATTTCGGTCTCCTATAGGGCCGATGCCCTACTTACGTTACTTTACTTTAGAGCACTTGCTCACTATGCAAAAATGCAAAGGTACTTAACGACAATACCACGAACTTCTTTGTAATTAATTTTCGATAAGTAATGTTTTGTCTCAAAACTAAATGAAATAGACTCTTAACAAAAAGTGACAGTTTTATGACTCTTTTATTTTTATGAAAACGAATTACTTTTTATGAAAGCAAAAGAATTATATCTTGCAGTTAAGAACAAGACTACAAATAAATTAACCGTCACGAGATATACCCATTTTTATAACTCATACGAGAAGAAATCATTATTTTATTGGAACAGAATGACACAAAATAAATGAGTACACAAATGAGAGTATTGGTAGATGCTTTAATACTGTCATTAATGCCCATCCACAATCAGGCAAAATAGCACTTTTCCAAACGAAAGAGAAATAAAAAATACTACTTAAATATTTTTATGATCAATAAATAATAGAGTCAGTGGCGCATGTGCAAGTAGTATTGAATAACTAAATTATGTAAAAACGACTCCTTCATTCATTCAGTGCTAAGATAGACTTTCTCGACTTGTAAAATAGTCTAAGAATGAAATTAAATTGTAGTAGCGGAATAGTGGATATCATATTTTGAACTTTAATAAGGTAACATAAAATTCAAAACCAACGAAAAATATTTTTCTCTATAGTTACCTGTCAGTTAAAATCCCATCAAAAACAATACTTGTCAAAAAAACCAAGTCTCGCAACTCAGTTGTTCTACGGTAAAAAGTTGTGAGATCCATGTAATACCAAGTCCAGGCCAGGAAATCTTTAACGTTTTACATAAATTATTGACTTGGCCATCGCACTAAATAATTTAATTTACACGTGTTTTCATGCGATGGCCAAGTCAATATATTTATGTAAAACGTTAAAGATTTCCTGGCCTGGACTTGGTATTACATGGATCTCACAACTTTTTACCGTAGAACAACTGAGTTGCGAGACTTGGTTTTTTTGACAAGTATTGTTTTTGATGGGATCTCATTTCTTTTTGTATTTTGTAGACAGCAGTTATGTATCTAGAAAACTGGACCGAAATTGAAAAATTTTACTCGACTTGGCGGTTGCACTACCGTGCCCCCAAATATTTTAGTTTTTCCTTGATTCATACACCAAACACTACTTATATTCCAAATTTGAAGCTTCTAGGTCTGCTAGAAGTGCCTTAGAGTTTTGATGATCGGTGAGTCAGTGAGTGAGTCAGTGAGTGAGTCAGTGAGTGACAAAATTAAGTAACTTTGACCCGTTATAATTCTCAAACTACTGGTTCAAATTGAATGAAATTTTAAATATACCGTGTCTTTACAATGCCTGCATAGCTAATGAAAATTCAGCCTTCTAGTTTTATCCACAACAAAGTTACAGGCGGTCGAAAATGGCCTGAATTGCTTCGAGAAAAGGATGGTACGGCCGTGCCGCTTTTTTGCTCGACTTGGTGGGGGCACTGCCGTGCCCCCAGATATGAAGCTGAGGCCGATTGAGCCATGTCAGACAACTACAGCATCTTATTAAGTCTGCTACTAGAACTGTGTTTTCAGTCGCTACAAACTACTCGTACATAGCATGCATATTAACAATAACATAGCTATTAGTTGAGGTATTTATTATATGTTTGCCTGTGTAAGACACGCAATCTTAGTATCAATTTTAATACGTCTTCAAGCTACATTATTTGTTTAAGTTTCCAGCTGACGATTGGCTTATTAATTCTCTATCTCGCTGCGAGACAAGAAAACTACTGAATCATTGAAATTATAAATCAAACAAAAAGTTTGCTTTAGAAGCAATTACTCAGTGATCATTTCGATGAAACAGTAACATAATTCCCGCGACCACTTTCAGTGACAATTTAATTGCAATAGTCGTATATAAATCTCGGTAGAGACAGATTTATGTCAGCAATATGTCTTTTGTGCAGCTGAAAATTATAAATATTACTTTGTTTGGGAATGAATCGTCGCGAAAGTCAATTGTGTACATTAATAAATAAAGCATGATTTATTAAATGGGTAATTAGTGGTGGAATTATTATTTTTATACAGGGTATTGTATAGTTTATCAAACCAAAAGTACTTAAGTACCAAATTTCTCAAAAACTTATGATAATTTGTATGGAAAGGTTTGAATATTTGAAAACTTGTTGCATTTGCGCAGTAGAATCAATCTTCTTTATTTGATCAAGTGTAAAAATAACACGCTGTATAAAGAAAATGATAAACGAATTTGCACTGATATTCTCATTTCCCTGCCCAGTTATTAAGTGCATCAATTAATGATAATAATGGGTCCGAAGCGTCGGATGCATTTAGATGAGGCTGGCCAAGATAACAGTGAGTGGATCACGAGAATGAGGAAACAATAAAGCTTCGGCGAAACCAACGCGTGTCTCGCGTCGGCGATGGCGATGGCGATCACCGCACAAGTTTACACGTACGAGTATTTATACACGCACCGCACGTATCATACAGGCCGCGACCATTGACAGGCGCATAATATTAAAGCTAAGGCTTTAAGCTTCGGCCAAACCAACGCGTGCAGCCTGAGTGAACAATGGCGATGGCGATCAATGCGTTTAAGTCTGATCGCCATCGCGATCGCCATCGTGCACGCCGGCTGCACGCATTGGTTTGGCCGAACCTTAAGAGTAGAAACCTGGCACTGGCCATGTAAGTAGGAATTATTACAATCACAAGCTGTCTGGGGTATGAAATGAAATTGTAAGTGAGCGATATAGATCTTGTAGCCGTTGCTTTTATTTTCTAGGAATTCAGAGAATGATAGACATTTTAATGATTAATTAACTTCTATTATGTTGAGTAGGTTTTATACTGAAGAAGAAGAAAAAGCAAAGTGTTTCAATTGAACATTTAGAAACAATTTACGCTAAGATTTACTCTGAAAGTTAACGTTTTTACTAACAACAAATGTTTTTAAGAGAAACGGAACTCTTACTTTACTAATAAACATCTTAAAATACATTTCTCAATCAAATTATAATTTCATATGTGTCAAATTTTGATTTGAATCATAAATACAAGACGACGGTCAAATAAATACAGGAGCGGAGCAATTTATAGTTCCGCTGCGCTACAAATTCCTTTGCGTATTTTTACTTTTTTACTCTCTTAGACTCAATTGAAATATCGGTCACGAAATCGATCGCGTGGTTCGGTCTTAGACACGCGAAAATTAACGGATTACCATCATATTATCACGTCAAATTAATAATTTACATGTGTTTTTGTCCACTTTTTACTGTCAATTTGCCACAGCAAATTATAATATGATTTATACCCACCGCCATTGCTAAGTGACAAATACATATTTCATAATTAATATTGTACAAGCCTTGTAACACGTATCGATGGCGTTTTCCCGCGAGCTCGCATGATACCTAATCGGTTTCGTAAAATTAAAAGAAAACGTTAAAAGTTACCTATCACGCAGCTAATTCTCGATATGACAGATTAGAACGTGATTTAAAAAAAAAAGAATAAATACATAATATTATCTATTTACTATTTGCATTTGTTTTTAAAGCCAGTTTCGATATTCGTAGCTCTACATTTTTTTTTGGAATAAGAATTCAAATAACGAGCGTGTTTTTTTTCGTAATACCAACCTATTGACAGCCAGTGTCATAATACTACCCTGAAAAACTAATAAAAAGTTATAACGCGTTTTTCACACTAGTTTAAAAATGACATTACAATGTACTACTTTAAACTAGTGTTCTTGGAGTCCATAACTTTAGTAAAGCGATATGTGTCCCATCTTTGCTTTTACAAATGCGTCCAGTTTCTGCGCGTAGGTTGTGAATTGTGGTGGTATTCTCAGTTCTTTACGACTTCTAATCTTAGAACAACATGAGTTTCTTTAATTACTCTTAAATCTTGTTAAGGCATCCCTATCTGCCTTCCCAGGCGTTCCTTTATTTTTGTTGGCTCACAATCAGTTTTACGATGTTTGTGGAATAACTCTTGGTTTTTAATGCCTCCATAACCTGCTATATTCTCCAGTCTGAATGTATGGTTATTGTTCTGTTTATTTTAAGTGTCCCTAGGAGATTAAAAATAATTTATTTTTAATAAAATTTAAGTGAAATAGTGACTGTTTCTTGCGC